AGGTTTATGAAATTGTTAGCTTACAGTGCATCTCCCCCATCATGACAGACACACCATCACATCTGTGTATAACACATGCAACAGTTGCAGTTAGTGCAGTGGGATTACTGGTGTTGTGAACAGATACAGACTTGACAAACAGTCCTGAGCTGCTGTGATAAACGGTAATCAGAGACTACATGAGAAAGGTTCCGCTTCTCTTCTTAATTATATGCTTCTGCATCTCTTCACCAGACCGCTACACCTGTGTGACTGTCTTTTTTCACCGATAAGCTATATAAGGTAGCTCTTCCAGTGGTGTTTTTAACTGCAGCAGCTCTTACATTCAGGAAGAAGTTGCCTGGGATGTTTGTAAGGTAAAAGTGGAGGAGGGACAGTTAGCAGCTGGATGAATCTGCATCCCCATATATTCTGATTAAAATTCTGTCATAAGAAATCATAGGCCAGCCAGTGGTTGCAACTCTGTGTGTGTTCTCCCTCCTTAATAATTATTAACCAGTGTCTCTTTGTGAAGGCGTGAGCGCTCCGCTGTGCTCTTTGTGTGTGTGTGTGAGTGTGATTTCTCTCTTTTGCAGCTGCATGGACACTTGCTTTGTTCCACAGAGCTGCTGTGTTGTTGAACGTCTCCCGTATTATGTAGCGCACAAAACCGTCCTCTCTGGAGCTGCGTTCGCCATCGCAGCATGCTGCCTCAGCGCTCGCAGGGTATGAGGACTGTGTCACTCATCAGCGGGCCACGGCGTGCAGTGGATCTGCTGCATGCTGTCAGACCCACGCCGTCTGTCGCAGTGTGTGTGTGTGTGTGTATCCGTGTCTTTGTGTGTGCCTTTGTCTTTGTTTCTCTTATTCTGTGTGGGTGTTTCTTTGTGTCTGCATCTATGAGTGCGGTTTAACCTGTGTGCATCTTGATTTCTTTGTGTCTGAATGCGAGTGTGTATGTGTGTATCTGTACCTGCTTCTATGGGTGCCTTTATGTGTTTGTGTCCTTGACTGTATGTGTGTGTAAGTGTGTGTGTGTCTTAAGTGTGAGGGTGTGCCTTTGTCTAAGTGCTTTGTGTCTGCATCTCCTTTAATCTTATTAATTATATATATCTTTATTTTGTGTGTGCGTGCGTGTGTGTGTGTGTGTGTGTGTGTGTGTGTGTGTGTGTGTGTGTGTGTGTGTGTGTGTGTGCTCTACCACAGTTGAATGACAGACAGAGCTCCCGCTAGACTTTATTAACAACATTTACTAGAAACTCTGCTGGGTTTGTCTTAGCTGGGAGATTAAGATGTGCACACATACACACGCACAGACGCACACTCTGACACACACTGACAAGACTGACTCACAAAGGCAACGGGGGTTTAGGAAAGAGAGTTAGAATATGTTTGTGTGTGTGTGGGGGCGAGCGTTGCAAAATCAACAAACACATGCGCTGTAGCGTTCCGACACATTCATACAAATTGTGTTCTCACATATTCTTGCTCTGTCGTACATACTGCGTCACATCTCCCACACGCACACACTTAAACAACCTTAAACACACACACACACACACACACACACACAGTTTGCAATTACAATGAAGGCATCAAATGCTTGGAGTTATGATTTATGTGCGTGTCCCTTCTCACCTGGGCTGTAGCACTCAGGCTGACATATCTCACTCATGCACACACACACACACACACACACACAAACACCTGGGAAAGTGCACCAGGGTGTTACCAGACTGTTAAGATGTCACTGTGTGTGTTTGCTCCGTGGTGCAGTAGCAGCAGTTGGAGTGGGTCTATTGACTTATTGGAACGAGGGATTGGTCAATTTCTCAGCCGTCATTTAAATGGAGGGACTGCACAGGTAGAGCTATTCAGACCTGAGAGAGGAAAAGAACAAAGAGAAAGAAAAAGTGAAGCTGTTTGGTTTAAAAAGAAAAAAAATGCCTTCCTTAGGTTCACTCATTATAGTGTTGTATCTCATTTAAATCTGTACTGCAACAAAAATGTAGTTCGTCAAGAAATAGTTCAAGCATGTAACTTCCTGTAAAATCCCAAATGTTTATTGTTTTTGGTTTATCTTAATGTACTGATTAAACAAACAAGATACAACGTGTTCTTTTGTAAACTATGGGGGAGGTGGATTGTTTTCATTTTGGACAGAGCCAGATTAGCTGTTTCCCTCTGCTTTCAGTCTGTATGCTAAGCTAGGCTAAATGCACCTTTACGTTTTCGAAATATGTTCCTTCAACTTTTTTAATAAATTGAACGCCATTGTATGTTAATACAGGGTCAGGCTAGCTGTTTCCCCCTGCTTTCAGCCTTTATGCTAAGCTATGTTAACCGTTTCCTGGCTGTAGCTTCATATTCATTGTTCAGACATGAGAGTGGTATCAATCTTTCTATCTAGCCTATGGAAGAAAGTTAAAAGTGCATTTCTCCAAACGTCATATTATTCCTTCAAAGAAAAGTGACTGGATACAGACAGAGATGTGGTGTCAGGCAGCTAAATAGACTGGAAACAGGAGGAACAAGGAGGCACAAAAAAAGAGAGCGAAAGTCAAAAAGTGCCAGACAGAGCTGGGAAAAAGAGAAAATGGAGGCTGAAATAAATGAAAGAATGGTGGAAACTCATATGGAGCGAATGGGAGAAGTGTCTGAGATGATGAAAGAGCATCAGAAAAAGTGAGATAGAGTGATGCAGACAAGAATAGGAAAGCGGCAAATACTGCAGATAAAAAAAAAGACAGAGGCTGAGTGCGTGATTGTTGTCGTCAGCACCTCTCTGACTTCTGCTCGGTGACCACAGGCCTCCTCTGCACTTCATTTATTGTCAGTCTTTATTTGATTTCTTTGTACCACTGTCATTTCCCCCCCTCCCTGTTCACCACCCAGACACCCTGCCACTTTTGTTTTTCCACTGCAGCAACAAAATGGCCTAGTTCTTTCCTCTAACCTTGACTTAAAGGGCCAGGGAGCGCTCTTTTAGGGGTTTTTTTTAATCACACGTTTGTTTTTAATAACTCTTGATCGGGGTGCAATGGTTGGTTTTGAAGCTTCTGCTTTTGCAGCTATTCACCTCAGCGACTATTACTTTTAAATTAGTGGACTTTGGAGCATGTTTTCCATTGAATGTCTTAGTGTGTGTCCTGATTTTTATATAATAAAGAATGATAAATGTGTCTTGAATTTAACGCATCCTTTTTAAACACACCAATTTCTATTTGCGTGCTGCCAGTCTGTCTAAATAGTTAGCCCACCACTGGTTTTGGTTATGCGCAGATGTGGCTCCAATTTACCAGACTGGAGACATTTTTCCAGCTCAAATTGACTGCTGAGCTTTTGATTCAAGGGCTGACAGCGTGTGTCAGCTACCAGTGAGCTTCATATTTATTCTGAGGCAGGTTTGTTTATGTTGATATTATTCAGAATGGTCTGCAATTAGTGACAGCTGATGGAAAGTTGCAAAAGCTTCCCAGTGACAAAACTGCATGTGATGACAGTTTGTATGAATAAATTACGGGTTCTAAAAGCTGATCTTTATGTTCTGGTTAGAATAATATCAAGCTGATTTTATTGAGGCTCCTTCTTGGATTGTGGTTTAGGTGAAGCTTCAGTCAGTCTGTAAATGCCTGCAGTGGAACTTGCCTTAAGGAGCTGCTAACCCACCTTAAAGAATTTGTTTGTATGTTTTTTTATTGGATGTCACATGACGGCTTGAAAGCAGCTTCAGAGAGTTTTCAACCCTGAAGAACAAACTGTGCTGGGAGCACCGAATCCAAGTTTTTCATTTTTAACAGTCAAATATCTGAATCCTGAACATCTAGCCAGAGAGCTTGATGTGCAGACATCAACCTGCAAAAATAAAATGTAAATCAAACTTGCATCTCCCATCCCTAACCTCTCTCTTTCCCACTCCTACTTGAAAGAGCGAATTTATCCTTACAGCATTACAAGGCAGGCATTCTACTCGCATCGAGCGGCCAGCAGCTGCATTTAACAGGTAGCATTACACTTTAACACGGTTTCTCACTGTCCATTACTGCACCATTGATTCCAGTTAGGCTCACATTGGAAATTGATAAAATGTAAGTGAGTCGAGGGTTTGAGTGGAGAGTTTCGCCTCGTCTCCACTGGTCCTGACAGTTTAAAGCACATCAAGCAATTGGCTCCAGGCCCGCTGTGATCTCATGACGAGGTGATATAATCCTTGTTGGTCATGGTGTCTGGGCTGCCAGTTGTTTACCATTTAGTGAGCCTCAGAGCAGTGAGATGAATGTAAATGCCTGGCATCTCTTCACTTCTATTTTTGAAGAATCACTGATTTCACATGTATATATATCCACACATGCAAGCATAAGGTACAACAGTAAATATAGTCCCCCTCGAGAGCACGGGGACACTTTAGTTCTCTTTTCCTGTGAGGATACACTAGAAAATGGGCCCACATTGTAGAAATAGTGTTTTGGGATGTCCCAGGGCTTCAGAGGTCTAAGCTGTATAACTCATACCGACAACACAGTGTGCTCAAACCCAGCTGGCAACATTTGTGTTTGTACCCTCACTGTCTTTGCCATTTCTCCACTCCACGGCATCCAAAAGAAGCACAAATACCATATAAAAGCTCCGTTGAGGTGGAAAAAGAAATTGCCTTTTAACCGAAAGTTAAATGCAGCCTAACCAGAGCGAATGGTGAAATTCGCCAGCTGTTCTGCATTTACCGAGCAAGACGATCTACTGAGGTTGAAATGTGTCACATGCTCTCCTCCTGAGCTCCCTTGAAGACCTGGCATGACTTGTGATTTATCTTATCACAGAATGTACTTCATGTATTATATAATTCACTGAGTACAACAGGAAAAACTTTGTTTCAGGTTGGGATTCATTAATGTGTCTGCCACACCCTCTGCGTCTCTTCCTCTTACAAGAAGATACAACACACAAGTGATTAAACATATATTCAGTTCATCAAGCTTTTATTTGTTTGTTTTACTGCAGCTTTGCTGTAGTAAATACTCAGTGTTATGTAATTCGTTCCCATGAAGAATCCTCTGGAACAAGTAGCGTCATGGGAAGTAATGTGTCTTGTATTTGGCAGCAACAAGAGCAGTTTGTTTGGAATAACTAGAAGATGCATCTCGTTTAGTATGAAAGTGACAGCCACAAGGGCTTGAAAAGGAAAAGAGTGCCACCTACAGAAGCCCAAACTTCATCAACAGAACATCCACGTATAAAAAAGATCATATCAGCTAATGATTTTACTCAACAGGATCCAAGTTAGCTGCATTCCGACCGGCATTATCACTGCATGGAGAACACTGTACCGGCACAGCAGGGGTCTAGATGCAGAGGACTCTAGCAAGAAAGATGAAACTGGCTCTACCAGACTGAAGAGGGAGTTTAACCTGAGGCCGGCACTCTTGATTTACAGGCCAATTTATGGTCCAGACCTCACCTGTGCTCGTGGGTTTTGTGTAGACAGAAAACACAAGATTGGACTTGTTTTATTCAAGGCATACATTTTTGGCTGCAAAATGGATGGTGCATCTGGACCCTCACAGACATGACCAGATAACAGAATTTACCTCAAGTGACCCTTAAGTCCACAGGGATGCAGAAAGTATAAATTAGGCCACACCAACAGAAGGATCCTGGAGTAGAACTGCTGCTTCTTAGGGATCCAGTTGAAGTAGTTGGGGCATCTGATTAGGATGCTCCCTAGTCGCCTCCTTCTGGAGGTGTTCAGGGCACGTCCAGCTGTTGAGACCTCAGGGCAAACCCAGAACATACTGATTATATCTCCCATATGGCCTGGGAACACCACATGATCCAGCAGAAAGAACTGGAGGACCTAGCTAGAGAGAAAGATATCTGGGTAACCTAGCTTCCCCTGCCCCCACCATGGCCTGGACCTGGATAAGCAGCGGGAATTGGATAGATGGATGAATGGAAGGAATGCAATAACATTCAGAAATGCATGTTTTGAGCTTTTATCAAACCTTTCTTGATTCTTTTTCAGCCTTTCACCAGCACCTGTAGCAACACACAAAAAGCTCACCTGTACTGATGCTGTTACCCAGAGTTTCTTGCTCAAGGGCACTTCAGCAGGCCAAATGGCTGTTATACTGCAGTGATCCCAGGTCAGGCCCAATGTACCATCATAAGCCCTGCAGAGCACAGCAAACATCACACACGCAAACAAATACTGAGAGGTAAACATACATAAGTAGATAAATCAAAACCAACACACACACACACACACACACACACACACACACAGACGGGCACAGACACACATTCTTAGGTTTAAATGTAAATTTTTGCTTTCTTCCCTCTGCTTCTCTTCCTCCAACTCCCTCACACACACAGTCAACACACACCTGTCCTCCTCCCTTAGGCGCGTCTTGTGGAGAACCATCCCTCTCCTCTCCTGTCAGTGGGAACAAATGAGCCAGGGCATGTTTCTTAGTGTGTGTCTGTGCGTGTGTGCAGGGCAAACTTCCTGTCTGTCCAGCCTTCCTCTCTTTTGCTCCCCCCAAAAAACAAACACGCACACACACACACACACACACACACACACACACACACACACACACACACACCTGTTCTGCACTGTTACCTCCTGACAGATCACTGACATGCTGTCTCTAGGCCATTCTGCTTTGTGTGTGTGTGTGTGTGTGTGTGCACGTGTGCTTACAGACAACCCCCCTACTGTGTCAGTCTGGCAATTGCCATTTCTCAAGGAGCTAAGGAAGGGAGGGAGTGTGAGGGCCTTGATGTGAGTGTGTTTGTTGTCAGAGGGTTTATTAATAAAGATGACCTCAGCCAGAGCTACCCAAAGGGTGTGTGCGTGTGTGTTTTATTCTTTTCTTTTTTTCTCTCTTTGTAACTCCTTGATCTACTCAAATTATTATTATTTTGAGGAGAATTCCATTTTTATGTATTCATACCTACATTTCCATGCCTTCTCCTGTCTTCTCTTTTCCTCCTTTATTTTCCTTTTGTGGCAGCAGTCAGAGGTTGTTGAAGTATGTTTTTGTGGACTCTCGCAGACTCATCTGTGTGTGTGGGTGTAACAGGGATAATCCTTCTTGATATAACTCCTTTGTGTCTCAGCGTCCGTTGATGTGATTATGTGCTGCATTATGTCGGGCTAAACAGGTCTGAGTCCACTGCGTGCGTGTGTGCAGACGTCAGTCACCTGCTGTGTGTGTTAGGAAGAACAGATGTCCTCACAAGAATAGAAAGATGAGTAATTTCCTTCAGTGTGCTGTCCATTTCTGTCGTCACCCCGACTGTCTGTCACAAGTATGACTAGGTTAATAATTAAAAGGTCAGTTGATTTAAATTATTCAGTGTCATATGGGGCTGCAACTAACAATTATTTTCATTACTGAATAGTTGTTTGGTCCAGGAAATGGTGAAAAATATTAATGACAGTTTCCCAAAGCCCAAGGTGGCGTCCTCAAATATCTTGCTTTGTCCACAACTGAAAGATATTCAGTTTAATGTCACAGAGGACGAAATAATTCAAAGCATTTAGACGTTTCTTCATTCAAAATGCCACAAAACACTAAATGGATTATACCATTTGTGATTAATGTGCTATATACTGACCCTTTAGAGACACAATTAGGCTTAGCAAAGTTAGTTGAGGTTGACGAACTGTTTGTAGAGTCAGGATAGCTGGAGGTAGACGTGGTCAGTAGTAGGAGGTGATCTCATTTGTTTAGCTGTCAAGCTCCCCTCTGTATCCGTCCCTCAGGGCTGGAGCTGGAGCTTGAGTGGGACAGCCAGCCAAGCAATGGGCCCCCAGGGGTCCGGCAGTTACCATGGAAGGAGAGGGCGGCCCTCTGTCTGCCTCACCACGATGAGCACAGAGGCCATGTGGGACGGGGTCCTCCTGCAGCCTGGGAGAGCCACATAATGAGATAATGCATGAAGCTCATGCTGTTACTGTCACCTACACACACCGATACACACACACACACACACACACACACACACACACCATCATACGCACACACATGCACATGCAGGGGGAAAAGCTTGTATGCACATGTGCACAAATTAAGCTTCACAAACACAGAACACCCAGTGGAAATATACATGTGGTGTGCGCATGAGCACACACACTCACAGCAGGAGATGCATAAATTGATCCCCGCTCACATATATTACTCTTTAACCTTCCTCTCTGTCAATAATCCTCCGCCCATGTAGGGTTCCCTGGCTATTTGCTATTTCAGCTGCGGCTCTGACCCTCAGCCAGTTACATTTTGTTGGACAGGCGGCAGCAGCAGTGAGAGGAAAGCTAATGAAACAGGATATCCCTGCCTCTGGTTATTCTGCAGGAGAAGAAGAAGAAAAATCACATTCGCTTTGACCTTGAATGAGTCTATAAAATCACCCAGTATGCAGAGGACGGCTGTATGTTTATCAGGTTTACTTATTCACTGGCGGGCGCCATTGTTCTTTAGGGCCCACGCAAGACCTGAAATGTTTTGTACTCCCCCGTAATGGCTTAGGGTCTCCTTCAAGGAGACACTGAGTCATTCCAGTTAGTCTTCTTTTGAGAGTTCAATCACATATAATGTCAGGACCAATGCTGTGAAATCACAGACTGGAAAAAATAAGTTTTTCAAGAATACTTTTAATGGATGCTTCTTTTGTCATTGGCGCCCATGCATTCACAAAAAATATAGATGTTATTCTCTAACAAGCCCAAAGGTTATGGAGCCATTGCATAAATGTGTGTGTCATCCGGCAGCTGAAGAACCAAAGAAAAGTATGTGCCTTTGTGTAGGTATTTAATGATGGCAAAGATATGGCATCAAAGCAGAATGGAGGATAAAAGTAAGAGCGAAAGAGAGATGGAGCTGTGTTTTTTTGTTTATCCGGCTCCATTAAAATTTCATCAAAGTTTGCACAGCTGTCCTCCAATAAACCACCATTTATTTCCCAGAAATTTGAGCTGTCTGGCCTACATCAGGGTGCATCTGACATTCTCTATATATACAGCTAATCAATCAGTCATGTGACTTTGCAAGAGAAATGTAAGTTACCTAACATAGGTAAGACTTATAAAATCTACAATTTAACCAACGTTAAACGTTATATCGTTTTATATTCTTAATAAAATAGATATTGACTTTAACCCATTAGTAGGTTAAAAGGTTCCCGGCTCCTCCCTCTGCATGTCAAAGTGCCCTTGGGCAAGATACTGAACTCCAAATAGCTCCTGACGCTATGCCATTAGTGTATGGATGTGTGTGAATGGGATTATGGGATATTCTGATGGCAGCCCATCAGTGTATGAATGTGCTAAAGCACACTGAGAGGTCGGAAGACAAGATAAGTGCAGTCCATTCACCATATTTACATATTTAGTGATATATGTCATGTATTTATGGTGGACTTGCTAGCAAACATGCCAATTCCACATTCAGCAGACACAGAGCAACATTAGCATTCACTTGGAGTTGTGTTTTTGGCCACCTAACCAATGTAATAAATGTCATATTCATTCCTTTTGTAGATCTGTTTTGGTTTTTCCTGAGAAAAACATCTCGCTCTTTAGCTGCTAAATGCTCCACTATCTTCCCTATCTGCAAAATAACCTATTTACTTGCTGGCTTTTCTTTAGACTGCAGCACTTGTTCAGCATTCACATCATTATCTGACATTTCACTAGATGGAAAAGTGGACTTGATAAGTCGAACCTGTGTGGAACGTTGTACGTTTTATCAGAGCGCGGGATCCACAGGAGGGATTTGTTGGGCTTTACTCTTTTATGAGACAAATATTGTGACTTGGCCCTGTTGTGAAAAGGCCAGGGCCCGAGCTAGTGCTTTACCATCACATCCTCCATCCACTTATGTAAACAGAGGCCTTATACAACACACACATATGCATGCACGCAGAGACCTCCTAACACATGCACTCCCCCCTGCTCATTTTACAGGGCTTTCCCATTCTCATGCACACCCACCTTAAAACTCAGAAATAGACTGGTTCAGTTGAATGAACTCTCTCTGCCCTCATGGGGTGATTTCATCCCGTTTAACTTTCGAAATATTGAGGAGTTAGTGCCTGCGGTATGAAGCCCTTGTGTGTATGATGTGGATATACTGACAAATGTGAGCATTTTTCCTCTTGTGTGTCTCCCTCAGTTTAGTTCACACACCAGGTGCTGCTCAGTATTTCGTGTCCACTGTGGCTCCTGTGTGCTCTGGCACAGTGAGAAGAATAATCGCAGCTCCTCCGCTCAAACCAATATCAGTTGCCAAAAGCACCCAACGCAGGCTCTGCGCCTCACACAGGAAATGAGTGGATGATAGTGGAAAGGTCCCACTTCACTGAAAAAATCCAAATCACAATCGCTTTATCTGTCAACACCAATAAATGCAGAGATTTTTTGTTTAGTTTTTTCTTGTCACGGTGCAGAGACAATAGGACTTCAAACCCACTTGTTCACACTGCCAAAAACTTAGTTGATGCATTCAGAGTGCCTGCAGTGCCAGAGGCTTTGATAGCATCTGTGCTGTGGGCTGCAGTTCAGAGCTGATAGAGCGGGTATTTTCCTGTGCTACTGGTAATGTTATCCATCTTCACAATGGGTGCAACCAGTCTCGTCTCCTTTCTGACTTACAGGTGAGAAATGAGAAGCTTTGAAGGTAAATGAGCAGCTCTTGTAATGATTTCCTCCTGAGAGCGTAGTGCCCCAGTGCCTCTGTTTCAGAGGACCCTTCATCCTTACAAGATTAGCAGTTTGTGAGAAATTTATATTTTTTAATCATTAGAAGTATATTACTTTATAACAAGGCACATTTTAAAACTAATGGCTTTATTAATGATTAGTAAACCAATGCTGACTTTTCTGTTTTTGGTCCAACCCAGATCAGCGTTGTCACAGTATACCACTATTGATGCTAATCAGGATATTTAAAAATGAAATATTGATATTGTGTTAATTATACACATATGATAATATCAAATAAAGAATCCAGCGCCTCTTAAACCATATCCTTTTCTTTCCTTTCTCACTTTGAATTATTTTGGCCTCGATTACGCTGTAGTGAAAATATGATCCAGATCCTTTGCTCCATATTGCAGAACATAGGCTGTCTCACAGTCCAGTCAGTCAATGGGATTTTCCATCAGCTTGCAACCCAAAACTTTCTACTTATTGATGGTTTATAACAGATCTATAAAGCTAAATAGTAACCCTTATAACAGTGGAACCAAATGATCAAATTCAAAAAGTGTACAGAATGACATCTCTCTTAAAATGTCGATATTGATCTTTAAAGTCACAAATCTCTCAAACCCTCCAACAGGAATAGAAACACAGAGCAGACACATTATTTCACAAAAATGCAAAACAAAACATGAACAAGACAAATTCCGAGCCGTCAGCTCTATATCAGTCAG